ACGGATTGATCTCCAACTTCATGGATGGTGGCAAACTTGAGCTCATGCATTGTTCTTCACACCAGTCGACTGAAGCGAAAGAACAGTCACTTTGAACCACCTACGACCGACTACGCCTGAATGCCGTACTCAAACCTATCGAGGTGCGAATATCAGTCTGAAAAGTCAACGTTTCCACCGAAATCGTTGGTACAAACCCCTTGATTTTCCGCAAGCGCGCTGACACCTCATAGCACAAGCCAGAACCGAAGTTCTGCTGAGCTGAAGTTGAGAATGAAAGGATCACGCAGGTTCACCATCCACTCAAGCACAACTGGGACAGACTTCAAGCACGCTGACACTAGTACAATCGTCGCTTGCCGATGACCCGGGACGTAGTGGCAGTACAGATTGTGTTCAGAGATGGTGGAGAACTCTGAACTAGAGAGGTAGATGGAGCTGGTGGACCCGGGTGGTGGCTGCTTTATGGGCGTGGTCGTCCGGCTATGCTGATTTCCATTCTTCAGAATCTAAAGTTCAACTCGATGGGAGGTCGAAGACAAACTCGACAAACGGTAGCAGGAGTGAATGGCACCCTCGAAGATGAAGTCGACGTCGAATTCCAAGAGGGAACAACACCCATACCAGGCGCGATACAGGGGCAACGGTTTAACTGAAGAAAATGCTCCACATAATCGTTCGCGTCCGCCGTTTGAGATTGCTTGAGAAGCACAACCAGCTGGTGATTCGCTGTGCGTATTGCGTGGAGTAGAGGTTGTGTCCCCCAAGTCCAACCTTTTTGGACCTCAACTACCTTTCACGTCATTCAGGCCCACGAATACCTCTTCACTGGAAACCTGGAATCAAGCAAACACCCTCAGCCGCGCGCTGCGCCCACCCAGCATCGAATACGTCAATTCTAACAATAGAGGGAGAACGTGGAAGTGACGAGGTAGAGTTAGTGTTGTCCGACGCATCGAGGGAAGTTTGTATGAGGGTAGGGATGAAGATTTGAAGTGGGGGGGAGGCAGTTGAGGCGGAAGACGAGGCTTTCAAGGTGGAATGGGGGATTGAGGCGAAGGGAAACTTTGGAGGATCACTTTTAGGAAGGGCCGAGGAGGTTCTTTGCGAAGGCTCCGCACGCAGGGATGGATGCTGGCGAGGTGGGCCATGTAAACTCGGATGGCGGGATTACTTAGGATCTGAAGATCTGATGGGGCGAGGGAGTGCGAAGGAGGGTCGAAGCCATGTGCTTATGTTGGGTTTATGTGAGGGGTGTCGGATAGTGCTTCAACGAGTCCTTGTTTACACTGACTGGTCGCGTACAAGCAGTGTTTCTAGAGTGGTAGCCTGTGAGTAGGCCTTGAGCGGGACTTGATCATCACGCGCATCTGAGGATGGCCATTTTATGTTGTAAGAAAGAAGCTCAAAATTCGAGAGACGTACTTTTGCGTCAAAGTTGCATGTTTGTAGTTGCAACAAGGCCATGTTGGTGCCGTGCGCATGCTGATTGTCGAACGCGACTCTGCAGTGACGTTTCAACCGCCTCTGCTTCGGCACCGCGCAGCTGTTTGAGGAGGTTCTATACAAAAACAGCTCTCCGTCAACCCAACCTCCATGCACCCTCCTAGTAAGTCCACAATCGCGTCATTCATCTCCTACCAACTTATCCAGACATAACCAATCCAGTCTAACCTATTCGCCGTACGCGAGTACCTAAGCCCAGTCTGAGTGAGCCCCATGATCCGCCATCATCTCACTGTCACCAATCAAATCACCCACCTAGGTTCTCAAAGAGGGCAAATACGAAGAACACACGTCCACGATCATCTACGTCCGAGTCATTTACTCAAGAGGAACAGATAAATTCGTCACGGGGGTGACTTTTTGGTGAACAAGTTCCCCGTGTGGGCATGGTAAGCTCCTCTCCATTCCTCGTCTCGTCTCGTCGCGTAAACTGAGTTGTAACTTATGAACAGGGACATCCCTTAA